TACCTGTGGGGTTGGTGATGTCCTTATGAATTTTCGGTAAAAAGTAAATAACAGGAATAATCGGGTGAGATACATTTAAGTAGTCAAATTCCTGTTTGCTTAAGATGTTCTGTTCATGACCATTGGTTAAAAAGGAAGTTAAAATCTGTTGTATTTTGGATGTAGGATCTTGCGTTAATTTTTCATAGACTATAGGGTTAGTTAATTGTCTCATAGCTTCTTTTATATACATTTCTTTAGTTAGAATAACTATACCTCCCCCTTTGTCTGCAGGTTTTATGATAATGTTGTCATCTTTTTGTAATTGTTGCAAAGCTTTACGCTCTAATTGTGTGAGATTGTCTCGCTCATATTTGTTTTTATGGATTTTTTCTAGACTTCTAAAGGGCCTGATTTGAAGCTAGAAGGAAAGATTGTCGAGTTTTTCTTTAGATGAGTAGAGATAATTTTAGGTAAACCTGATGGTGAGGTAGCTATAGGTTGTGAGGTAGAGAATTCTGTATTCTTACAGGCAAAGAACCTTTTGAGAGTGGCTTTTCTGACAAATTTATTAATGTCTATGAAAGCTTTAAAAGGTTTAAAAGGAATTGTGGGCGCGAATTTGAGACCTTTAGTTAGGACTGATATTTGGGTGGATGTTAATACCTTTTGAGATAAATTAAAAATGCCAAGATCTTTTTCATTAGGCTGACTTATTGTCTTTCTAACCTTTCTCTTTTGGAATTTTCTGCCACTTCTCCTTCCTCTAAATTCAGACTTTGCTTTATGGTTTTTATAGGGTGTGGCGTTAGTGCGTGTGCGTTGTTTTGTGGGCAAAGTTCTAAAAAATAATCATCATTATCTGTTTCGGAGTCTACAGATAACAATTGATATCTATTACTGTGAGCATAATTCGGGGGGGAACGTTTGCCTTCAAAGTGTCTTTGTGCATATCTTAATCTTTGAATTTTGGGTGTTATGTTTCTTTCATTTTGGTACATGCCAGGAGAATAATGGATATTGCTGGTGTGATTAGTGGGGTTCTGTACGGAAGGGAGTGAGTTGTTGTATTGGTGGGGTAAGTGCCTAGATTGGGTTTGATAATGTTGATATTTACGGGTGATGTGTGGCCGGTTAGAGTGATGGTTTCGTGATGAGGTGAAAGATTGCTTTCTCACAGGGGGATGAGGTTGATATTGTGGTTCTCTTCTGGGTGGATGATTGTGGTGTATTTTGGATATGTGATCATTTTGATAAGTGTTGGAAGATGGATAAGTTGTCTGAAGTATTTCATTTATGGTAAGAACGGACCTGGTTATTAGAGTAATCTTGTTTGTCACGGATATATTTTTTTACTTTGATATGTTTGGTATCCATTTCCACTTTTTCTATTTTGTTCTGGATAAGAATAGAGTTTTGTTTAAAAATTTGTGTCTCTGTGAATATTGACATCTTATCTTTTAGATCATTTATTTCCATATCAAGGGTTGAGGCCAAAAGTACATACTTCTAACTTATTATACCAGTCTCTCATAAATTCCTCATCATCTCTATCTGGTGTAGGTTCTTTAAAAAGTCTTAGCCCTCTAGGGGTTATTCTTTCTACTAAATATTTCTTTAGAGTAGCTAATTCCAGCTTTAAGTCTATCCTTACAAGTAATTACACTAAATATAAACACTTTATCCCCTAGCCCTTCTACCTTTTTAACTAAACCTAGCGTTTTTTTTAAATGTAATAGATGTATAGTCTGTAAACGTACTAGCGACACTATTAAATCTAAAACTACATCGTTTACATCTACTATCACACAGAAAACATATCAAATAAAACATTTTATTCACTGTAATACAACAAATGTAATCTATCTTCTGGAATGTCCTTGTGGGCTTCAATATGTGGGTATGACCACTAGGGATCTAAAAAGGAGACTAGCTGAACACTGTAGAAATATTTTAAAAGGTTACGAAAATCATTCAGTCTCAAAACATTTTCTACAACATGGAAAGAATCCAAAATATCTTAAATGTATTGATATAGACACTTGTAATGTCCCATGGAGAGGAGGAGATATTAAAAAAGTTTTAGGTAAAAAAGAAATGGAATGGGCATACAATCTAAAAACCCTTGCCCCCACAGGGCTTAATATTGATTTTTATCTTTTTAATTTTTTATAATAAATCTTTGATTCCTTATATTATTTATCATATATTATATATTTTATTTTTATTATATTTTTTTTACTATATTTCCTATCATTCTATTTCTTGTTTACATATACTGTAAAATGCCTGTATGTTTTATCATTTCTTATGTGTATTACTCTTTTATTTTATTTTATTTTTATTAATATTCCATCATTACTATAAGGTTTTAATTTATTCACAAATAATTTGTTATTATTTTATTTTATTTTTATCAATATTCCATCATCACTATAAGTTTTAATTTATTCACAAATAGTTGTTATTATTGGTGCCCACTTTGGGCTTTGAACCTGAGTGCAGCTGGGACAGCTGTCTGCCTGCTTATGCAGGCAGACAGCTTGTTTTATGTGCCTGTGCTGTTTCTATTGCTGTCTGCCTGCTTGTGCAGACAAACAGCCTGATCTCTGCCTCCTGCACTCCTGCCTCCCTTTACCGATCAGATGAGACAGCCCTCCCATCTCCTTATGATGCATCCGTTCCGTATAGACGGAACGCATGCGTTCCAAAGAGCATCACGTGACGCAGAAGTGTTTTGAGTCACGCGTCACATGATCGCCTTTCTCATGTATTTTAAAACCTTTATGACCCTCGTTTTACAATTTTAATTAATGTACCTACCTCATGTTATTTATATTCACGGAAATTTATGTTTTAATCACTGTTTTGATTTGTACTATAATATTAAGGTTCCTATGATGTCATTTTGGTGGGAATTTCAAAATTATTGTATCTTATATAAACCTTTGCTTGTCAGGTGTGTTCCTTTTTACTATTATCTACTTGAAGAAGCCCTTGAGGCGAAACGCGTTTAGATATCATTTTTATTACTTTATAATAAAGAAATTATTTTGGCATAAAATACTTTATTGCCATTTTCTTTCTTTTTTCACCTGACCATACATATACTGCATATTTTACAAGACGTCTAAAGAATCCATAGAGAGCACTATATTTTATTCTTTTTTTTCTGGGTCGAATAACACTAATTCGGACGCCTGAATTTGAGCCAGGTATTCGCCAATCAAATATTACTCTGCATATCCTTGAGTGGGGATTATTCCACTTTACGTGCACAATATCAGAGATAGAGTTTAGCTCTGAAAAGTGTGTGTAAGACTTTTTTCATTTTATTATATTATTTTATTCATCTATATACTGTGCCATTGGAGTCCTTTTCTGTTTTTTTCTACATATGCTGGATCCCAAGCATATAAATGTGAAGATTTACTCCATTTCACATCTCAAGAATCCCTGTTTCCATACTTGGCACCTATCATTACAGACTTATGATAAGTGTTTTGGACTACTGCTTACTACTTATTTTATATTAATACTTTATATATACTATATGTTTTATTATATATTTTAGGCGCAACCTTTTTACCGTTCTGTTTTTGTATTTCTTCTTATCACCAGGCGATTATAGGGGACTCCCCTTTAAGGAGTGCAGCCTTATTATTATCACTACTGTTTGTGTGGCAATCTAGCGCTGATTTTTTTCTTTCCTATTTTCTATAGAGCTCTCTGAGCCCATTCTCTTATAGTGTGTGGATCGAATTCACTGCTAATGAGTGCCTCATCTACCAGGATAAAAATCTGGATTATAGGACCTGAAATGTCCAGAAGCTTGTCTTGGGCTGCTTTCAACCCTTGTTCAATACACTTACAAGGGTCTTTGCCGGATTTAGTTAAAAAGGTGACAAGCATGGGGTCAAACTCAGGAGTAGAGGCAACTTTACCTGGAATAGTAGGTCTTGGGCATTCAGCCCTCAGTTAATTTCTAAGTTCTTTCTCAAGGGGCTTGCGAAGCCACATTTTGCAGTAGTTGGCAATGTGATCAGGAGGGGCCCATTCTGCAGATCGTGGATGACGAATCACCCTTGGATCAAAAAAATGAAGGCCTGAAGCATCCAGGAGGGTGTCTGAGGCAGGCTCTTTAGATGGAGGGCCACCCTTAGCATCCTGAACATGAAAAGTTTCCTGAACAAACTCTGATGTTGAGGAATCCTGGGGCACATTCACTGTAGGATCCTCATCAGAGTAGGTGGTGTCATAGTCGTTTAAGATATGACCAGCTTGTCGGGAGGTAGAGCCCTCAAGAGGTTCTGTCGGATTCTGCATAGTGAATGGTTGGGAATGTTTGAGAATTTTTGCAGGAGCTTTGCCTTTGCCCGCAGTAGCGCTATTCCCTTTCCAGGGTCTTTTGCGTGGGGCACTTTCTTGGTCTGAAAAGTGGGAATCCTCTGAGTCAGAGGGTTGGTGTGTAGAGGGATGAACCTCATGATATGATAAGCTGCCAGAGCCTTGGGAATGGACTCTGCAATAGTGGCGAACAGCCAATCCCGAAGTTCTGCAGAGATTGCAGCGTCTTGGTGTTCCGACATAATGTTTATTAGGGAAATGACAATGGAGGCAGATTAAAAACTACAGGTAGGTGTAGTAAAATTATAAGGCAGGGTTGGCAAATGAAGAGATGAGGCAACTCAGTTAGAAAAATGGAAAGGTGGGGGTCACCCATATGAATTGAGAAACAGTGGGGGTCACCCACACTTATTAGGCACAATCAAAATAGGGGGTCACCCTTTAACAAATGGTGAACAGCAACTTAGTATGAATATATAGTATATATGTAGATATAAGAAAGCCAGTGAGGTGGGGTTACCCACTATGGTGATAAGCACCAATACAATACAGAAATTTATGTAGAACTAAAGTGGGGATCACCCACAAAATAAGCAGATGGTGTCAGCCACACAACAATTTTTAATACAGATAATGTATACAGTGGAGTACAAATATGTAACATAAAAGGGAGGTCACCCAAACAGTTTAGCAGGCAGGACTTGGCTAGCAGCAAAAATCTGCAAGGTGAAAGAAGAAATTATGATCAGTATTCTGATCTTCAGTGGCAAGACTTTAATGTATGGGCCAAATAATAATTAACTTACCTTCCTGTAGAGGATTGTAGTAGTGCCCACAGAGTGAATAATCCGGTCAGGGGCCGCGATTAGAAAATGGCCGCCGCGAGTAAAAGTGGGCGGCGCGGTCATTAGGCGGGAAGAGAGTGACGAAAAAGGGCGCGAAGGCTGTGCAGGAGAAACGGTCCCCTGAGAAATGGAGTCCGTACACAGATTCTCCTGACGGGAGGGGAGGAGGGAAGGGAAAGCCCGGCGGGCTGTGTCTGTGTGCGGCTGAAACCCTGACACAATTAAAGGTGTAAGCACTTAAATGATTAAAAAATAACTTGAATAAAGGAAAACATGACAGGTGAAATAAAAAACATTAAAAAAAAAAAAAAAGGTTCCTAAAAGGAAATTACCCTGTAGGATAAGCTGAAACTGTTATTAGAGCTATCTCAAGATAGGATTAGCAGATAACAATCATCAAATAATCTAAGACAATTTAAAATTTCAAATAATGAGGTTAGGCAACGTAATTAGAATAGACTCACCTGGGAGGCAAGCAGCAAAGAAAGAGGAAGTGGGAGGAGTCTGGTGGCACTATATTGTTCTATGATGTGTTATTATTGGTTGAATTTTTTACAACATTGTTAACTATTTCTTTGCTGCTGGGAGTTACAGTAAAGAAAGATAAGCAAATATGAAGCCTCCTGTCTTGCCATAAAATTCAGAATAAAGTAATATTCCTCATCAGAGAGCAACCCTCCACTGCGGCCTTCGTCCAAAATTCCCTTATAGCTCTCAAGGAAAGAATTAGTCGGGTCAGAAGGTAGAGTGATATAGGTGTCAACATTCCCCAAAACCTTCAAAACCATTCGCTCATAGTTAGAAATATCCATAACCACATTTCCTCCCTTGTCTGCCTGCTTTATAATCACATTATCGTTATCCCTGAGTGATTTTAAGGCGGTCTGTTCACTTCTAGATAGATTGTCACTAGGGAAGGAGTGAAATTTTGAACACTCTATGCCGTAAATATTCCTAAAGGATGCAAAGTTGGGAGTAAAACGGCTTTTAGGTTTCAGATTCGTATAGGTAATTGGTGTTTGAGCGTCATTATCATCAAGGAGGGAGACCAGAGTATTAAGGCAGTCTATATCCATGCTGGAAAGACCCAGAGAACATGCTTTCTTTTCTTTGTTTAACTCCTGGAATTTGTGTAATGCCAGTTATCGTACAAAGAGATGTAAATCCTTTGTCCATGTAAACCTATGAAATGCTGGGGTTGCTACAAAGGAAAGCCCTTTTTCCAAAATATTACGGTGAGATTCATCTAGTTGGTAAGAAGATAAATTAATTACCTGTAATTTTGGAATGCAAGTGGATTGTGTTTCAGAGCTAAGCCTTAATATCGTCTCTTCCTCCCCCCCCATTCCTCCCTTCCCTTCCCTGGTTCCTGGATTGGTAGCGTGTTTGATAATTTGGGAACACCTCCTGGTGGCCCATTTCTAAAAAAATCAACTCCTTTCTTCAGGATGCTACGGGGATTACTAGTACATGGTGGGGTTAGAGGCGGGGTTTGTGAACTTAGGGGTGCAGTACTGGAGTCAGTGTCTGAGGAATCATAATCAGACGTCATATAATTCTCAGAGTTCTGTCTCATACGGTGGGTTGGAAAGTTGTAAATGTCACCTGATTGGTAGTCCCTAGAGTCTCTGATGAATTTCTGATGTTTCCGACATTTAATTGAATCTTGATAACGATCGAGGTTTAGTTTGAGTTTATTTTCAAGGGATGGAAAATTATGTTCACTTTTAAACGTATTGAGTTTCTCAATTTCCTCACCTAGTTTTAAATTGGTATTGTCCAGTTTCGCTCTTTCAAAAGTACAGATAATTTCCATAAACCTTTTTGAGCACATGCCTGCAGACAATTCCCACTCCTTCATAAAGTTGGGATTGTCTGTATAAGCTGTACGGGTATTTCTTACTCTTAAAACTCTTGGTATCAAATCTTTTTTAATGTAGTTCTCCAAAGAAGACACTTCCCAGCATGTCCTAATCTGCTGTTTATACAATTTAGTTACTGCATTAAAGGATTGGTTAATGTCAGGAGAGTTAGGATTGTTCTCTAAGTTGTCATTCGAGAAAACATTATCAGCATCTTTGCACCATGTACTAAAATCCTGTATGTTAGTTAATGTAACCTAGGTAGATCGGTAACCTAGGTATTAAACCCTTGAAGTATCAGAAATAAGAAGAAGAGGAGGGATTATGGAGTAGAAAGGCTACCACCACTACCCTAAAAAAAGGTTACAGGAGGTATAATAACCCCAGAAATAACAATGATAAGAGCAGAGAAAATGGGGTAGAGAATCCACTCACACAATGTTTATACACAATTTTGGTGTATTTAGTATAATCAGTACTATTATTTTTTTGCATTTTTTCTAATAAAGGTTGTTTACCCTATTTATGTGACTCTTCATGTTAGGAGGTATTATTGAATGGGTTAGGTGTTCCACCTACTTTGTGTGAGTGGATTCTCTACCCCATTTTCTCTGCTCTTATCAAGAATTGTAAAAAGAGTACTAGATACCAGAAGCCACGGTCAGACCTCAGAACAGAACAGAGTAGGTCCTGACAGTACATCCCTGAAATTAGTTTCATGGCGTTGCTTGGTTTAGTCTGGCGAATTCAAACCTCGCTCCTAAACCAAGCAACAACCAATCAGCTGAAAGGGAAACCAAAACGTACCAATCAGCGTTCGGGGAAGGAAAGGAGTTTTGCCGCCCAATCCAAAGAAAGAACGCGAAACTCGGCTGCACCAATCGGTGCTCGGGGAGGAGGTGGGTTTCACCTCCCAATCAGGAGAAAGGGCGCAAAACCCTGTTTGATCGGGCACTCCTTCTCTGATTGGTCGCCTGCCCCCCGGAGCGACCAATCAGAACTCACTTGTGCCGACCAACCAGGAGAATGGCACGAACCCAGTTTGAATGGGCAGTCCTCCTCCCACTGGTCAGAACGGACTTCCATGTGGCAAGCGGTACACTGTGGCTGTGAGACTGACTCAAAGCTCCAGAGATTCCCTGCTGGAGCGCATGTCTCACTTTGGTGAATATCCCAATGCAGGTATCCACCAGAGAGAGTGCTCTCCTGGGCAGCCACAAGCCTAGCCTCATAGCTCCCATGTAGGTGGGGGGTAGAAAGTAATTATAGCTAATTTGGGAGAGAGTAGGATGATCCCGACATAGGGATCTGAGACCGTGTGTACAAGCCGGTTCGGGATACGAATGCTGCCCCTGGGTGGTGTTCGGTGATACAAACCGGCGGCCACCCAGGAGAAGCATAATGTGCTGCTTGTTTCCCATCCGGTTTGTGTTTTTTACACCTCTTTTGCGAGGTGTGAACATTCTAAGTAAACATTCCAAATGAGGTGTCAAAATAGTCCCCATTTGTATGAGATCTCTCGAACGGGAAGCAGGTAAAACACAGGAATCCTTTACAATTACATAAAGATACAGCAGCATCGAATGAAACGTAAGACACCCGACACAGCTCCGAAGAGATATCATCATTTACCGAAGCCCCATGAGGGTACGACAAATGATGAATTAGGTGAAATTTCCCCACCTCCCTCTTGGGCACCACACCAAAGGGGGACACGCGCAAATTGGGCAGTAGAGGAACATCAAAGGGATCCCGAGGACGGCGCTCCGAGAAAGGAATCCAGAACCCATGTTCAAACCCCTCCATAAGTAATCTCGCTGACCGGTTTCTATAATGGTCGAGCCAGGGGCACATCTCGTTTATGGTCATCGCCCTTAGCTCCCAGGTCACCCTTGTCCCCTGGCTTACCCCACTTAAAACATTGGGTGGCCGAGTGGGCACCTCCACAGTGGGAGCATTCGTGTTTAAACCAGCACGACGCACCCCACTTGCATTGACTTTCATTGAATTTCCAACAACAGCCCGGTCGTAGATGTGTGCCGATGAGGTGGAGCCGACCCCCCCCCCAAGAAAGAATGACATTCCCCCTTGGTGCGCCACCGGGCAAGTCATGATGGAGAGCCAGAGGCCAATCTCCATCTGAACCCACAATATAGAGGGGCGAACCGTGAACCATTGAAGAAATTGGTCGTCATATCGCCACCAACCCAGGCCACCATAAGTACGACAGGCGTTCCATATGGTATCCTGATAACAGAACAACACCGAGCAATGCTGGGGAACCTTCTCCCCAATCACGCTCGCTAAAATGGAGAACCTAGTTCCCGAAAGTCTTGGGATCTTCCTATAGTGAAATTTCTCCTTATCTTTACCAGACTTCCCATCCTTGTCCACCAGAGGAGGAGCACCCTCCAAGGTCAACAGGGAAAATATTTCGACAAATTCCCCTTTCCAGATTTTTTTTCCCTAATGATGCAAGCCCAGGGAGCCATAGCAGCACATATACACTTCCGCGACACCTGTCGGACCCTCTAAATCCCCAAGGTTGCTCCCCCCCGCGCAGACACCGCCAAGGAGGCCGCCAACCCACTACCAACCACAATGCTGGGAACTGAGCTTACCACCCTACCCGCAGATAAACCTGCTAGGGGGACAGAAGGGGACCACGCAGAGTGCAGCTGACTATCCAACCCATGGGCCCCTTCACCAGCGCATCCCACTCCCACTGGGAAAGGATACCCCACAATTCCAACATAAACCCGCCAAGCACGGATGCCTCAGACAACAAAGGAAATTGGGACTCACCTGACGGCGCCCCGGGACCGCGGGAAACAGAATCCTGAGACTGCACTGTGTTTCCCATGTTTACCGGAGCTACAGACGCCACTTGCTGGACAGATCCGGCAACTGCCACCCAAAGCTTGAGGACTCAATGGAAAGTCAGTGAGCCCACACTCCAGACCAGGAGGCTGCCGAAACAGGAGAAGGGGGAGGAGGGGGTCCCAAGGACAGTCCATACAGGTGTAGCTGAGCAGGAGAGGAAGAGAAAAGAGGAGGGGGGGAGCAGAATAAAAGTGTGGGGAAGAAAACGGAGGAGCAGAGGGAACAGGGACAGGAGAGGCCCCAGACCCTGGAAACCCCAGAGGGGGACAGCGCCACAGGAGAAGGGGGATGTTAGCAAGGGGAAGGAGAGGGAGCAGCAAGAGGAAGGGGGGAAGCCTTCCAGCCCACAGACCCCGCTGACAAAGCCAGGGGAGAACCTGGAGGAGGTAGGAAAATAGAAAGAGG